ACTCAAGAGGTTAGTTACCTCCAGAAATATCGATTATTGCCAAAGGTTGCCATTTTCAGCATTCTTGACTTTTCCGTAACAAATGTAGGCATAACCGCTAGATGGCTGATTGCCAGTTCAACATCTAAAGAGGTTATTATTAGGATAACAATAACCGATGAACTCCAGATTGCCTGTTTAAAACCAAAGAGGTTTTATTAAGACAACCATATCTATTAGATGCCAGATTACCCGTTTAAAAAAAAAAGAGGTTATTATTAAGACAACCGTAACCACTATATGCTATATACTTCATAGTGTAAGGTTTCGTCCTTTTTAGGACGAAATTTTTTGTTATTTGTCTGAATTGTCTAATTGTCTGAACCGGTTTCTGGGACCTCTCCACGGCGATCCTCATCCACATGGTGGCACTTTGTGTCATCGGGTGTTTATCGCTTGTGTGATGTCCTAGTGGGGTAGAAAGTCAGTCAGTCGACTAGATGCTAGATTTCCCGGTCAACCTCCAAAAAGGTTATTATTAGGACACCCATAACGAATACACCAGTCAGTAGTAACCTGCAGTCCTTTGAGGGCGAGGACGGGACCATTTTTTTTTAAACTGAGGATTAAATCCACGACCTTTCGCGTATAAGGCACATGTGATAACCACTACACTACGAAAGAATTGTCTTTATTGTCCATATCAATACGGTCTTGAGTCTGAGGGTTTAATGAAACATGGCTAGTGTAGTCGGTACAACCTGCAACTCATAATTTTTTTTTTTTCGTTACTGCTACCGATACATACAAAACTCTCCGTCCCTTGCCAATGATCTTCTTTTCCTTCTTCCCAGCGTTCACCTGCTTTAATCTCCAGTTTAAAATTCTGGTCGTTCGTTTACTATTTCTAGACTTTGTTCTTATCCCAAAACTTTAATTTTGCGTTCACATCTGTTTCACATTTTTCATATTTATATGCAGACTGTTGGTTCTTCGCGCCTCGGGCACATGCATTCCGACTTTGAAGAAAACTAACCGTAATTACTGGAATTTTGCTTTTGATGAGTCAGTGGGTCTAATATTTGTTTCCACCACCAACCCCATGGGGCCCCTACACCCACATGGGGAATATTAAGGAATGAAATCGGGTCTCAGTCATGAGAGTATAGCCCCTAACTACTGGGCCAGTCTCTCCTCAATGCGTGGAAATGTCTCTTTTGTTTAGTTTGCTTTGTACTAATGTGATCAGTTTGTGAGCTGGGCAAAGATAGAACGTCTAGGGTGTTATCATGACCACATTTAGCTCAAAGTGTCTGTTGCAGTGTCTAAGTCTTTAGTTAAGCAGCGATAATCTCTTTCCCCTTTCGGTCTAGACCCATTTCAGGAAGCATCTTTCTCCTGAATGCTTGTCCTCAACTGACCTCTTTGCTTAAATATGAACTTTATGTCTAGGGCGTGCCGCTTTACCACAATGCACACTGCAAGTGATGACGATGATGATGATTTTAGATGCAACAATACAGAAGTAGTCAGAATACTTGAGAGAACGAAGTAGAGTGAGACAAGAAGATATAGAGAGACAGATAACAAGAGAAAATAGGACAGCGAGAGAAAGAAGAGAACGGGCGAAGGCAGATAAAAACAGCAAGAGGGGAAGGGGTGTGTATCTACTCGTACTACTCTGTGTGAGACGACCAAACAGAGATAACGAAAACGGGACCTACTAAGAGAGAGAGAGAGAGAGAGAGAGAGAGAGAGAGAGAGAGAGAGAGAGAGAGAGAGAGAGAGAGAGAGAGAGAGAGAGAGAGAAGGAGAGACAGCATGAGAATGAAGAAGAACAAGAAGTATAGATAGATAACAGAAGAGTAAAGAATGGAGACAGGATGGTTAGATGAGATGAGAGATATGAAGAAAGAGAATGGAGAGACATTGGAGAGAGAAATAAAAGCAGAAAAGACGAAACGGGATAGACAACAGGTGAAACTGATGAAAGATAGCGGAGAAGAGGGCAACAGGAGACAAGGAAGACAGAAGGATGTTTAAGTTATAGCAAACTTTAGAGAGGAGGTGTGATAGGGAGACGTCATCAACTGCGTATTTGTTGAACGGACTGAAAAAACAACAGATCTGAGCAATCTTGGCATTCCCTTTTCAGAACCATACCTGGTTTATTAACAGAGAAATAATATGCAAATAAATATAACCTGGTTATATAAATAAATTGTAGTCTAATTTTGTTGACGTGCTCTATCAAAGAGAACCCAGTAGTACTCGCTTTCTAGAAGACCATAGAAGGCTAGCTGTCAACCTTATTATTGTATTTAGGTGCAATCAGGACGCAGTTAGAAAATCCCACAGATAGTAAACTAGTTTGAGCATACTAGGACCTTCTAGAAGGAGTTAGTGAGCATAACACAGCGTTTTCTGCATTCCTAAACCAGATATAAATTGTGGGTAAGAAACCATGTGAACAACCTTCAGTCTTCGAAGCTTGGACGAAGATGGAATAGTTATATGAACCCTCGCAGGCGAAAATCTTCATTTGTAGAGATGCCAATTCAAGACTAGAAGGAGAGGAACCAGTAACATGGAGCCTAAAAGCCAGTCACTAGAGTGGGGACATGAAACGAGAAGTCGAACTGTGGAGGCAAAAGACAAGATACATGCATCCATGATCAACGGAAACACGACTGTTAGATGGAACTATTACTAATGACAGAACCAGTTTAAGAATAAATAGAGATGAACAACTCACCGCGACGCCAAAACTTTGGGAGAATCAGATTCCATTCAGAATATCATTGATATAATTTATCGCTTTTAGAGAAGACAGTAAAAACAGTGAAATGAAAAGGTGTGTTCCAAGACATTTTATTATACAAGCATCAGAGTGATGTGAGAACCGTGCAAGCAAGAGAAAGACCATCATCACCACCAGCTCTGTCGACACGACCACCATATTTCTACTCGACTATAACCTTTCAATCGACCCATCCTGTAGCAAACCAAAGACAAACCTGGGTGTGACATCAACATACACAAAGAATATAGCTGCGCTACAGAGTAGATAAAGAAATAAACAGAAAAAGAAGAGGAGAGATAGGAAAGGAGAAATAACAGATAGGAAATTACACAGGAGAAGCAGAAAGACATAGAAGAAGGGGCGAGGAGGGGAAGGTGGAGGGGAGCGCTACAACGGTTTCAGATAATAATCATTTGATTAATCAATAAACTAATATCCGTTATCGCTTGTCACTGCGAGCGTTGCTTTGTTTTGACGCTTTTGTGTAACGTGTACTTGCCTCTTTTGCTGTGTACTTTTAACGCAGATGAGGAGAGTCTATTTTGACTGCTAATGAGGTCCTTTTATTTTATGTACATTGTGTAACCTCCTATATGGTGCAGAGACCTGGACAATGAACAAGAAACTAGCCAGTCGTATCAAGTCTGGAGTTGTAGATGTAAATAAGAATAGGTCATAGTTTATTGAAGCAAAAACACTTCAAAACGTATGTTAAGAAATATTGAGAATAAAGAAAGAATTGCTGAAAGGAATTTAAAAATAAATAAATAAATAAATAGAGAAATTAAATATTTCATCTATATTAAAAGACGTAACACACTTCTATAAATTTATACTGGGGGGAGGGTGGAGGGGTATGAAACCTAAGAGAAGAAAGTCTATGGAAAAAGACAGGAAGGGGTAAAAAACGATACATGTGGGATTGAAGAGTGGAAAGGTGGGAAAGGGGAGGGGGGGGGGGTCAAGAGATGGGCGAACAGCAGTCGGATAGGTGCGAGGTATACTATGATAGAGATCCATTGCAGCTAACTTTCACAGTAGAGATGGCAGTGTTTGATATACCGTTTTTGCCTAAGTATAAAACAATCCCATGTATCAGACTCACCTTTTTTTCCCCTTTCAAACCCCTTTTAAACTAGTCTGTCGTAACGACGTAATCCAGTCTTCGCCCTTCCATACCCTTTCTAAACTTGTCGGTCGTCACGAAGAAACTCAGTCTTTCCCCCTCCAAACACCTTCCAAACTTGTATGTATGTCGTCACTACGTAAGCTAGTCTTGCCCCTTCCAAAACCATGCCAAACGTGTTTGTCGTCACTACGTAAGCCAGTTCTGTCCCTTCCAAAACCATGCCAAACGTGTTTGTCGTCACTACGTAAGCCAGTTCTGTCCCTTCCAAAACCATGCCAAACGTGTTTGTCGTCACTACGTAAGCCAGTCCTGCCCCTTCCAAAACCATGCCAAACGTGTTTGACGTCACTAAGTAAGCCAGTTCTGTCCCTTCCAAAACCATGCCAAACGTGTTTGTCGTCACTACGTAAGCTAGTTCTGTCCCTTCCAAATGCACTCCAAACGTGTCAGTCGTCACGATGTAAGCCAGTCTTTTCCCTTCCAAACTTGACTGTCATCGCGACGTAAGTAGGTATTCTCCATTTTAAACATATTCCAAACTTATCTGTCCTCACAACCTAAGCCTGCCTTCCCCCTTCCAAACTTGTCTGTCGTCACGACGTAGCCCAATCTTCCCCATTCCAAATCCTTTCCAAACATGTCTGTCGTCACCAAGTAACCCAGTCTTTTCCCTTTCAAACCCCTTCCAAACTTGTCTGCAGTCACCACGTAAGCCAGACTTCCCTTTTACAATGGCGTGCCTACGTAACACGGATTGTCTCCTGACGATCACGAATTGATGTCACTGCATCGACAAATACCTCTTATTACAAGATGGAGGCTATATATCTGTATTGTCTACGTTACCAGCTGATTAACATTTGAAACATCTTCGCCTGCGTCCATCGCAAACAGTTCCACACACGATTCCCCACTGTGAAAGCTGCAGTGAAGAAGATTAAGATATGTGTTACTAATGCATCAAGCTGAATATATTTCCTCTGCGTGTTCACTATCTCTCGACTTATCTTAGATGGCTCAGAGATAATGTTATCACGCATATGAGCTTTTTATTTTCCTGGCGATTCCGGCTCTCCTACGGAACATCTGTTACTGAGCATTATTCCGGCAGATTGAGGAAGACCTGGTAATATCGTAGCTAATTTGCTTGCATACTCAGCAGTCTTCTATTGCAGTGTCCTTATGCTACTGTTGGGCGATTAAAAGTTTATCGATTCCAGTAATAACAGCAGCTGACCGAAAGGTTTGAAGCTGTACTCTGAAGCAGAAGACTCGGGTTTGAATACTTTGTAAGGTTAGGTAATTCTTGCTTGTGTGTGTGTGTGTGTGCGTGTGTGTGTGTGTGTAGGTGTGGTGGGTGGATTGGGGGGGGGGGGTGTCTTTTGGAAGGAAAAGTAAAATCCTAATTTTCCCAGTTAGTCGCTACAGCACTTGTCATGTGGCTCTAAACACATGAAACATCAGGCTCAAAGACAATCCGTTCCATAACCCACCTCCTCTCATCCCCCAACCCCTTTTGTACACACCGCAAACGTGGTTGATACGGCAGAAATGGCAGGCTGCACATTCTAGTAGTGGAAATATTAAATGTTTGCTAAACAATAAAGTTTCGGGGTTGATCGAGTATAATTAGTTGGGTACGAAGTTTGCTGATGTTTCAAGCCGATTTTGACGTTGACCAATTTATTTGGCATATGTTGCTAAGCTAGCCCCACTTTAGTATTCACCAGCAGATAGTCAGTATGTAAAAGACCCTTTTCCAAGTCTTCAGGCATACAGGGTTAGACATACATTTTAAAGACCAGTCGGCACTAGGTGGGTTACGTGGTGAAAATGCGCCGACCCCTTTTACTTCCCAGAACTGTACCTGGTTCCCCTTTATGCCTGGGTCGACATGAGAGCCAATTCCATAAAAATAAAAAGTCCGGCTCCCTCAAGACCTAAACAAACAACATTCAGATCCGCAGGAAAGCGTCTAACCACAACACCACGGAAACCTCTTATATACAGTTCGCATTATGGTCAATACAGCGTCGATTGTCTTTTGCTTGTCATTACAATTTAATTCATAATGCCTCTTTTATGCTAGGCAAACTTCAGAGCTCAGATGTTATTTTTTGTTTTAGTAAAAATGTTAGAAAAAAAAACTAAAATATTCAAGCTGCATCAAAACTAAGGTTCATTCTGTTTAAAATCATTTAAAGCGACCAAATGCATTTTAATTGGTAAAGAAGTCATGGTGGATCAACCAGAACACATTGCGATTTGGTTTCCATGAACGTCACAAAGCACGATTTAAAAAAAAAAAAATGTTGAATTTTCAGAAATCAAATACGTAGTTGTTTTTCGGCTGTTTATCCTGTTATTTCCCAAACATCCCCCCTCTCCCCCCCCCCCCCAACGGCTTTTTCCACAATGGAACACGTCACCTCAGCCAACTTGCGCTGAGTCATCCTATTACTGTCTATAGCGTGCATCCCACTCGGGTCCTTTCCGTGTAAGTCCTTAAAAAATAATTCGTCGTCGACCTCTTCTTCTTTTTCTTCTTTTTGTTGTTCTTTCTTTTCTTTTTCTTGTTCTTCTTCTCTTCTTCTTCTAATTCTCCTCCATTTCAATCTTTGTCCTCCTAATCTTCTTCTTCTTCTTCTTCTTCTTCTCTTCTTCTTCTTCTTCTTCTTCTTCTTCTTCTTCTTCTTTTTCTTCTTCTTCTTCTTCAGCTTCTTCTCCTCCTCCTTCTTCTCCTCCTTCTTCTTTTTTTTTCTCTATCTTCACCTTTTTTCTTTTTCTGTCAATTTTTTTTCTTTTTCTCTGCTTCTTCTTCTTAGCATTTACAGGCTGTGAATTGCGACAGAAAGTTTTGGGTGTTCATCAACCTCTGGACTTGTTCCAGAAGTTGCGTTTTACAAGCACATCAGTATTTTTTCAAATCTGGCTAACATGTATGTAGACTTTGGGCAGATGCATTTTGATTCAGGTAGAAAAGATCCTATTAATCGTCATTTTCGACATACTTGTTAGGTGAAGCAGTGCATCTATTCCCAAGTATATATATACACTACACACCCACACATACATGTATATATACACTACACACCCACACACACACACACATATATATATACTACACACCCACACACACATATATATATATATATATACTACACACCCACACATACATGTATATATACACTACACACCCACACACACACACACACATATATATATATACTACACACCCACACATACATGTATATATACACTACACACCCACACACACACACACACACATATATATATATATATATATATATATACTACACACCCACACACATATATATATATATATACTACAAACACACACACACACATATATATATATATATATATATATATATATATATATATATATACTACACACCCACACATACATGTATATATACACTACACACCCTCACACACACACACACACATATAAATATATACTACACACCCACACACACATATATATATATATATATATATATATATATATATATATATATATATATATATATATTTATATATACTACACACACGCACATATATATATACACGTAAATATACATGTATGTGTGGGTGTGTAGCATATATATATATATATATATATATATATATATATACTACACACCCACACATACATGTATATTTACGTGTATATATATATGTGCGTGTGTGTAGTATATATATATATATATATATATATATATATATATATATATATATATATATATATATATATATATATATATATATACTACACACCCATATATATATATATATATATATATATATATATATATATATATATATATATATACACTACACACCCACACACACACACACACACCTATATGTATATATATATATATATATATATATATATATATATATATATATAAATATACATATATATATATATATATATATATAAATATACACTACACACCCACACATATATATATAAATATACACTACACACCCACACACACACATATATATATATATATATATATATATATATATATATATATATACATATATACTAGCTGTAACCGGCCACGCGTTGCTGTGGCGTAATTTGAGATAGTCTTTGATCCCCCCCCCCCCCCACCCCACACTTCCCCCCCCCCCCCACAACTAAATCCACCTAGTACCCTCTCCCTCATCAAAGGTTTTTAGAAAAGAAAGACAATGGAAATCGCACCTGTCTAATGATGTTATTGACGCATGGAAGGTTGTTTGAAAAAAAAACAGAAAATAGAAATCGTGTTTAATATGGTTATTGCGGCAAATATAGAGATAGTCTTGTTTGCGGTACCTCGACCTACTCTATGTATTAAGGCGTTGGCTGCATGTAACTCGCCGGCGAATGGCGGAAGCCTTGCGTTCTGACTACGGCGGCGCATGCGCAATTACTAACGTGGCTATAATTAGAAATCACTAAAGTTATAAATATTAGTTGCGTATATTTTGGCATAAATTGTGGTCACCTATCTCTAACAGTGACAGGTTGAATTTCAAACCACGACGGTTCAAAATCCGGTATCACAACAAACATATCCTGAAAATTTCAGCTAAATCGGTTCAGTAGTTTCCGAGTCTAAAGAGAATAAACAAACACACAAACATTGATTTATATATATATATATATATATATATATATATATATATATATATATATACATATATATATATATACACATACACACTCACACGCACATATATATACATACACATATATATTTATATCTATATACACATACACACATATATACACATATATATATATATATATATATATATATATATATATATATATATACACAAACGCACAGACACACACACACACACATATATATATATATATATATATATATATATATATATATATATATATATATATATATGTGTGTGTGTGTGTGTGTGTACAAATTCGGACACCAGAACAGACACAAATATGGACAGATGGGTGGACAAACGAATGGACGGACACACAGATTGGTGGACAAACGGATGGGTGGATAAACTCACTGAAGAATATAGGGTTTACTGTGTTCTGGAGCTGGCGGTTATCTCTCTGTCCATGTTTGGTGTCGTTTTCTGGCAAACACCATTGGTATTTCCAAATGAGTTTTTTCCTTCTCTGGTTCTGTTCCTCAGAGTGTTTTCCTCCACTTTATTTTTTACTAACTATGATTATTTCATGTTTGCAGTAGTCTTCTGTATTTTATACCCCTTGCCTTCACCGGCCAAGACAAATTGCCCCTATCGTTTAGCTATTTGTAGCCCCTTTATATGGACCCCACCCCTCCCCATCCACCAATTATATGCATGGTTTTTTTTTTTCGTCTTTTTCCCACCTTTTTTCTGTTGCATTTTTTTATTGTTTGGTAACATTTATTTGTATAACATTTAATTAATTAATGTTATTCTGCACATGCGTAGATTATTGAATGCATTTTTATTATTAGTTTTGTTTCCTCTGCCCCCCCCCCCCCTCCCCCTAGCGTTTCTCGGTGTTTCTGCTGCATACAACAGTGAAAGTACTTAAACAGGTTGGAGATAAATGTCATATTGTTCTAGGACACTGGTCACTAACCTGGGAAAGAGGGGTGAGGAGGTTTCAAGAGTGCATCAAAAAATTTTGAAATTGAGTGCACTTGTATTTGTAATCATAACTTTAAAAAAAACGAGTTACGGGCCCTTTTCCACGCCTTTAGTCGCATAGGGTATATAGGGCTATACCTATATTTTAGAGACCAATCAGCACAAGATGGGTGATTTGGTCAGCATCACTCCAGCCGCCTTTACTTCCTGGGACTGCATCCGGTACCCATTTAAGGTTGGGTCGACCTGGGAGACAAGAACATTTTTGAAAGAAATATAAATAAAACTGGCCTATTTGTAATCATAGGTTATATTATGTTTTTAAGTTTTAATGTAAACAAAATATTTTTTTTTAATTTCTTTTCAAAAACAAAAAGCCAAGGATATTTTTGTTTTCATAAGCAGTTTGTGTCTCTACGGTTAAAAGTCTAATGAATATGATAACACGAGTATTTACAGATTAAGAACACATTCTGACCAAAATGTATCTCCATAATGTCTTTTTCGCTTTTAGCGGAATATATTTTCGTTCTCTTTTTAATTAATCTCATTTTTTACGGTAGGATGATGAGGTGTCTTACATTTTATTTAAGGAGGCGATGGGGCCTCAAGGATTTGGGAGGGGTGAGGGGTGGTGCGACCTGTCAAAGACTGAAGACCACTGTAGTGAGGGATGTAATTTATTTTGACTTCTAAAAAACTTCTCTCAGCTATAGGACACCGACGTACCATTTTAATTATATTTTTATGACCATATGTGTTCATCCGCATAATTCTCTTTATATTATTATGAAAGACAAAATTCAGCTAATAGGCACCAAGATAAGCCATGGTTATGGGCGGAGAGATGCACTGTGTCCCATGACAATGTGATTTGTGTACTGAAGTGAAAATGATTCCGCTTTGTGTGATTTATGTTGATTTAACTCTGTAGTATTGCACCTGGCGAGATACTGAGAAATTAAGGTTGTTGCCTAATCTTCACAGGAGGTTGCAGAACCAACCCGAGTATTTTGTGGCTGTTGTTTCTTGTCTATGAGAATTTTATATCCAGTAGTTTGCCACTGCTTTCCAAACGGTCAGCTCACGGTACCACTGTCGAAATCAACCAAAGACAAATTCTTCGCAGCTGGGATCGAACCCGGCATCCAGGCATAATGAAGCGCGTTGGAAACGCCTACGCCCCAGACACCGACACTGCGAAATATTCTGGGCCAAAAATTGTGCAATGTCTTGTTTCTGTAATCTTTATATTCTAATTACAAAATAATACGTTAGCGATATCTGATATTCATTCAGACGGTATTGTATTACTTAAGATATAGTCGTATATCATGACTGATATTACTGAATAATGTTTATATCACAGGGGAGCAAGATTATTGTGTTTTCCTATTATTATCAAGTATATAAAAAGATCGATAGGAAGACAGACATGTAGAAATGTAGATAGATAAATAGAGAGAGAGAGAGAGAGAGAGAGAGAGAGAGAGAATCAGATGGAGGCACGAATGGGTGGGCGGAGGAAAGGACAGAATGATATGGACTTTGCAGTACTGAGGAGGTGGCGGTTATCTCGATGTCCATATTTGATGAAGTTTTCTGACAAACACCATTAGTATTTCCAGATGTCCCCCCCCCCTTTCCCGATTTTACACTTTTGTGCTTGTCCTTAAAATGACGGTTCGCACTTTGCATTGTGATTTACAGCTAGCCTGCGAAATCAGCGCTTATGGGTTAACACATCCTATTTCAGAAAACTTTTGACTATTCGCTCTTTACGAAATGCTTGTTAAGGGGTAGTTGATTCCCTTTCCCCTCCCCCCTCTTTCTGCCCCTCTTTCTGCCCCTCTCCTTACCCCACCCCTAAGGGCCTCCAGAATCAACACAAGGATCCAGACTCTACTGGGTAACACTACTTGCATTAGGATTTTATTTTTAAAAATGTTGATCTCTGCATTACCTCACTTAAAAGTCCAACACGCACTGGACACGGAAATATAATTAAATAATATTGTTTCTGCTTCAGATTACACTGATCTGAAACACAGAACTGCAAAACTGGATATTCTTAATCTGCGACATAAAGACAGCCAATAAGAAACATTAGACCTAGAGAGGAAATTAGGTCCTCTTCAGGTTTCGCAGATTGTTCAAAATACTGCGTGATAAACTGCGTTGTGCTGTCAATACCTGCTGGCTACATTCAAGATGCTTGAATGTAAATGTTGGCAGCTTTCCATCGAATGGTACTATACTGTGCTCCAGTGAAGCATGGGGGACATCGCTTATGGTGATGGTGGGTATGACTAGCAAGACCTGCCCGCATAAAGAAAAGTTTTCCACAACTCAAGCATTGGATTTCAGGATATTCTCAAACGCTCAACTTTCATCCTTTCTACAATCATGTTTTCCTTTGTGGACATTCCCGTCCCGATTTCCCATCTTCAAGCAGAACGGTCCAAGTTTGAACGTGACACACTTTATTTCTACAGGAAGGATTCTTGGAATCAATTTGTGTTGGTTTTAATATTGACATCGAAAGCCCACAGCGGTCCAGAAAACAATGGCAGGTCCTATTTACGTTTCCTGGCCCATCTACACACTGGATGACCTTTCATTCATGTTTTCTCAAACTGCTCTACGTCAGAGAGACTAACGTTGTGTTTGCTCCAATTACATCAGCGCCGATGTCTCGTGGTCTATACTACACGACGACACAGCTTTTAACAACCATAGAACATCTATAACTGGCCCAACCCAAACACCCTCCTACCCACAGCCTGAGCCTAAGTCCCAAGAAAGACTCTTTTCGAAGAAAAGAGTTCAATTTGACACAGACACCAGAGAAATGTGACACCGACACCAGAGAAAGTGTGTAGATGAGCCAGGAAACGTTAATAGGTCCTAATGGCAAACTACTGGACCTAAATTTGCGAAGAAAAATCACAACAGCCACAAAATAATGGGGTTGGTTTTACAACGTCCAGTATAGGATCAGCGAGTAACTTACCGAATACAGGTAAAGTTGGGAGGATCTATTTCACTGCACGTTTTATCTCATACGCCTTGGTCTCTCCCCGCAGAACAACTGTCTGCCAATATCACCCCACACTGTACGAACTCCGTAGCTCCAGCAACGATAACTATAATTTACAGAAGAAAAAATACTCACTAGCAATCTGTACAAAGTTCATTCCCCATATGATTGACCACACCCATCCGACGATGACCACGAAGGAGACCATCTGGAGAACGGCGGACAGCAGATTCAGGCCAAAGGCTGTGGCAGGTTTCCCGAGTTTTGTTTTACAGCCACACAGGCAAGCCCATGACGACATAAAGGTGCCTGAGGGGAAGAAACAAAGCAATATATGAACTGTCTGAGAAACACAAATTTGTATTGTTGTAATCGTTCCCCGATGTCGTGCCCAACATTAAAAATCTGAAACTTAGAAACCGTTCGGGTTAAGGTTAGTTTCGTATCCCTTACAGGACGTTGTAGAACCAACCCCAACAGCCCTTGGCTGTTGTGTGGTTTTTCTAGGCAAATTTACGTCCAGTAGTTTAACCGTTCAGAACAAATTGTTAAAATTAGGCAGGCAAACTTTTAATCACCAGGTGTTTGTAAAAAACAACTAATGTAAACAAACATCTAGTTTTTAGTTTGCATTATGTGTGGTATATGAAACAACAGAAACCGATTCAAAGCAGTCAGTCAGCATGCTTACAGTCAATTGAGTCACGGGAACTTTTTAAAACATCAGATTGCATGCGTTATATAGGCTTTTTACTTTAATGTGGTCATCTTCAGCATTAGCCGTCCCACGAGTCGTGCATTTTTTTTATTGTAGGTGAGATAGGCTATCAAAATAATAACACTGTATTGCTGCATATGTAAACTGATTTTCAAACAATCCCAGTGCGTGTATCAATTACTGCTTATTCTATTTTAGGGGACACACATTTTTTAGTCAAACAAAGATTAGAAGAAATTTGCCTCCTGAGAAATCCCCAGCACCCATACTGTGCGTCTTTCTTTCTGTCTGTTTTTCTGTCGTTATAATTTTAGCTTAGTTTCTTTTTCCTTTCTTCTTTCTTTCTTTAATGCTTTCTTTTCTTCTTTCTGTGAATCTGTCTTTTTCTGAAACCTCCCCTCTGACTCTGCCATCCGCTCCTGTTTGCTTCCTCAGTCTTTTTTCAAACAGAGATGAGAGACAACAAAAAGGAAGGAAAGACAAGAATCCACAAAAGTTCTTGTAAGGCCTAACCACCAGCGTATACCAGAAACCCCGATAACATCAAGTGAGACAGGAAAGGGCGACAGGGACAACAAAAGGAAGAATCAACCAATTAGCAATCTCGCAATGACGGCGGCAGGAAGGAACCGAAATACGACAACTTAATCATTGCTTCCATATGTGTCCTGACACAGTCGTGAACGAAACCAAACCATATAACAAGAAGGAATAAATGAATCCTACCTCCTTAGACACAAATACCGGCATATTTAAACAATGTTATAGAAGAAAGAATCAACATCAGTTAAAACGTCTAATGACAAAAAAACCAAATGTAATTAAAAAAAACCATATCTGAAAAAATCCTACACAATAAGGACCGCAAATCTAGACAACAGCTATGAGAAGCTGAAATGTGTGAACACCATCAAATTATTCATTTTTGTTCTTCATTCTTCTCTTTTCAAACAATAGAGTATAGGGAAAATTATAGGTTATATCATATACTCTGTCGGCTCTGTGGCTAAGTTGATGCGAACGCTTCGTAATGCCAGGACGCCGGGTTCGATCCCAGCTGCGGCCATCCGCATTGCGTCGGTTTCGACAGTGGTATCAAGAAAGCCGACGGTCCAGAAAGCAATGGCAGACTACTAGACGTAAATTTGCCTAGAAAAACCACACAACAGCAAGGGGCTGTTGGGGTTGGTTCTGCAACGTCCTGTAAAGGTTACGAAACTATCTTATATCATATACCACACTAGTGCCAATGAAAGGTTGGGTCGACCTAAAAAATTGGGGGTGGTGGGGGTGGTGGGGGGGGGGGGGTCTTTGGGGTAGGGGAGGGAATAAATCCGGCTTCGTCGGGATCTGTATCAATGACCTTCTGATCCACAGGCGAGCATCTAGCCGCTACACGACGGCGTCTCACTTGAGACTATGTCTATATGCATTTATATACGTGTGTATGCAAACACGTGTACATGCATTAATTTGTAGACGTGTGTGCATGGGTATATATATCCACGTGTGTGTGTGTATGCAAACGTGTATGCGTGCATTAATAAATGGGCCTGCAGACATGTGTGTTATGTATGTGTATATGTGTGTGTGTATATACATATATATATATATATATATATATATATATATATATATATATATGTGTGTGTTTGTGTGTGTGTGATGGTACACGTATGTCTTTATATGTGTGTGTGGTTGTCTTTACTGCACACCAGCTCCCTCCCCAACAACCTTCACTAGGTACTGGAGTACCAGTTCACGCCCCTAGTTTTGGTTCAATTAACATTTCTTATCCAACAAGCTTGGCAGAAAGAAACCAGACCACAACTATAACCGACAATTACTGCTCGCAGCAGGTTAAACGTGGTCGATTTTTTGTTTCGTTTTTCATAAACGGATGAATGGATTCAATCTCTATCTTTTTCTCTTTCAATCTGAATCGTTTTTTCTTTGTGCCTATGCCGACTCTTTGTCTGTGCATCCCAACTTGCTCTTTTATTTGTCAGTTTCTCTCTCAGTCCATCTTCTTGATTTTCTCAGGTTATTTGACCCTCTCTCTTTCTCAAAATTTTATTTCTCTCTATATCTTTCTCTTCTCTGCATCTCTTCTCTCTATATCGCTCTGTCTGTCTTTCTCTCTCTCTCTCTCTCTCTCTCTCTCTCTCTCTCTCTCTCTCTCTCTCTCTCTTATTTCTACCAGACTACAGTAACGCTACAAAAACCCAAAGTTCCACCACCCACGGACTGTTAAATTTAACACAAGCAGTCAAGCCAATCCCTACCTCACAGACCCACCCCATTACCAGTGTCTGCAGTCTGGAGTGGTACAACTAATCTAGCGAGCCCACCCACATCTCCCCCACGATAAAGACCCCACACAAGGGGTCCAGAATGTAATTTCATTTCTTTAATTTAAAAACCGGAATGCTTTCTATTTAAAAAAAAAAAAAGAAAGCTTCTGAAAAAAATAGGACCTTTTTATTTTTTTGTCTTACTCTCTACCCTTTGTCATGCTGGTTCATACACATCTGCCCATGAATGTTTTCATCATTTGAAAGTGACATGTTCCGTTCACTTTGGTTTTCTTGCGTATCCTTTACAGGACGCTGCAGAACCAACCCCAGCAGCTCCTAGCTGTTGTGTGGTTTCTCTAGGCAAATATACGTCCAGTAGTTTGCCATTGCTTTCTGGAGGGTCGGCCCCCTGATACCACTGTCAAAACCAACGCAAGGCGCATGGCCCGCAGCTGGGATCGAACCCGGCACCCCGGCATTACGAAGCGTTCCCATCGACTTAGCCACAGAGCCGACGTTCTGTTTACAGGAAACCTAAATAAAACCTGGGACTACGTTGGCGTCCGCCTCAAGTGCTGGAGGTCTCGGGTTCAAGACCCGGTGAAAGGGGGCATTTTTTCACGTGGATCTCTAGTAATTTTCCCCTGGTCTCCGGGTAGTAAGATCGGACGCTCGTGTGTTTAGCTACACTCGTTAAAAAAATCATTTGGCAGTTGGAAACCGAAAAAAAAATTAGTCTAACAGCGCTGCCCGCGCAAAATTTGGAGTTAAAAATATGCCCAAAGTATTTCAGGATCCTCGCCGGTGCTACGGAGTTCGTGCACTGTGCTGAGATTCTTGAGTCCGAAGTAGAACCGAGCACTTCCAGGCTAGTAATGTTCTGCCATAATGTTGATCCCTCATCTAAACCTAAACGTATCGAAACCTAAGAAAGCGTTTTGATTATTATGTTAATCAAGTATGCCAAAAAGAACTTAGTGCATTAAGACTATGGCTGCAATTGACATAGAGCAGAGAATGCTTTTCACACTATATCAACACCTGATCCTTTCAGTGGTGGATTATGGCCTTGGACTGCTTACCGTCTCAAAGAGTCAGATGGACAAACTAGATCGCATACAGAACGCGGCTATGCGGGTCATTCTGGGTTGAATCAGAGACATCCCAGTGGTGTGTATGCGATACATCCTTGGTTTGCCGACGGCTGCAGGTAGGTACAAGGTGCTGCAGGCGAAGTCATATCTCAGAGTAGCCGCAGACACAGACCACCCACTACATGAAGCTCTGGGTGTAGTTAAGGGTCAGCGGCTGATAAGAGGGAGGTCATGGATAGCTCAAGCAGAAGACACAATCAGATAGGTTTGCATCCTTGTGAACATTAGGCGAGGAGAGGAGTGGGTCGAAGTGCCACCTGAAAAGTCAGACTTGCGTAGAGTCATAATCATGCTGAGCCGGGAATGCAGTGACTGGCCAGTAGGTGCCACAGAGGTGGACATTCAGCAATTAATTCAAGATAATGCTCGCTCAGAGGATTTGATCATTTACACAGACGGTTCAGTGTCAAGAGGCAAAAGAAGTGCTTGGGGCTTCTTAGCAAAGGTTAATGGTCGACGTTTGGTGCAAGAGAGCCTAGCATATGATACCACAACATCCAGCTTAAGAATGGAGGTGGAGGCGGTCACTGCAGCTTTTCGCTGGCTAGAGAACACACACACACACATCGTGATTGTAACTGATTCAGAAAGCATGCTGAGGAAGATCAGAACAGGTATGCTTCGTGCAGAGTGGCATGCTTCGCTGCGGAGGACACGAGTGAGGAGTATTGTCTGGATTTGTTCACTGGGTCACGCCGGTGTGTTGGGAAATGAACAGGCGGACAGACTGGCTGGCTCTGCACAACTTGGTGGAATACTGATACATGATAGGGCAGACGTGGTTAGTGCCTTGTGGGAGAGCGTGTACAATTCGGAGGAGCAGATGGATCATCACAGTCTGGTGAGATTGATGCAGGGGGGAGTGACAAGAGCTTCTGACAGATGCTCAAGGCTCACGGGAAAGACAAGACAGAATGCTACTGGCACCATTGGTATCGGAACTCTTCGCTGGCTGCTGAAGATGGGGACGGAGCGCTTACGGCAATGCCTCAAGTACTGTGATGTCGGTTCTCAAATAAAATAAAATCAAGTCACTGCAATTCCAACTTTATTGCGAACGGGTGAAGGCCATAGCTGCTCCGCTCTGGTGCCTATAATCCAGTCATCTCTTTGTGAGGTGCAATTTTTCCTTATTTGAAG